ATCATCATCATCATCATCATCATCATCATCATCATCATCATCATCATCATCATCATCATCATCACAAGTGGGACTTACTCAAATGCGACAGGATTTGTTGATCCGATTCCCAGCACAACACTATCACGTATGTCCGTCATATGCTCCCAGCGCAACATTGCAACAACTTTTTGGAAAAAATTCGTGTTAGCAGCAGAGGATGATCGGGGTGCACGTACAGATGAAGCCAATGACCGGAACACATCGTTGTCCACTCTAAAAATTCTTATTTTAGCTCAATTTACTGCTAAAACTGACGCTCTCACAACAAAAATACTATGCCCCACTTGCCAAATTTTGTGCGCATATAGAAAATTTTTAAAAAAAAACGACTAAATTTTTGCGCCACCCCATTTGTTTTTGTTAATTTTTATCTTTCAGGCAATATGCCCTTTGCGAAAAAGAGTAATCATCACTCATTGTCGGCAAAGCCGAGGAATCCACACTCTGAAGATTTTATGCCGCGATAACGACATCTTCAAAAACATCTATGGTGGCGGTTATCACAGCTGTTATTTTTTAGTTTTCTATGTTTCTAAATGTATTGGTGGATCCTCCCATGACTTTGTGTTTTTTATGATTGCTAACATTGCAAAGGCTTCCTCCAATTGCCTTTTTTTCAGTTACCTTTTCGAGATTCAACGAAGGATGGCGCTTGACTCTCCAGGAGCCCATCCTGCAATACTGGAGGAGCGATTGGCCCTCAAAACCTGGGCTGCTACGAGAATTGGGGCCGGCGGACCCTCGCTTGCATTTGACACTCCAGAAACAACTGACTTTCGACATTTTCCCTGTAATCATCAATCCGGGACGGCTGCGTTCAGGACATTCTTGGCTCCTATAATCTCGCGTCTGAGCACAGTTGTTCCGCCAAGCCTCCTGCATCGGACACTCGCACGCATTTGGCTCTCGGCTTTTTCCTGTGTCATTGGCTACACTTGCAGGCCATACTGATTGATCAGCGTAGCTCTGTCGAGCTGAACCACCAACCGCAGAAGAGAGTTTTTACGCGTTTTGTGCTGTTTAATAGCAGTACAAAACGCATATTGTCACGGGGTTGTCTCTGTGTGTGTATGTGTGTGTGTGTGTGTGTGTGTGTGTGTGTGTGTCCCAGCAACTTGCCCGCAACTTCCAACTCGGGAACCACAAAAGCT